GTTTATTATAGTTCGATAGATATTACGACAGCTGGTGCAATCGTCATACACTTAAAAAGAAAACCAAATTCCGGTAGGATTTGTTTTTGCTACAATGAGAAGTAAAAGCCACTTGAAACTCTTTAAAGCGTAGATCCAAGTGTGAATACGCTTACAGCGGATCCTGAAATAATATGCACAGGTGCTGGTGGATCAATATATGGCTCTTCAGTACCATTGTAAACCTGAAATCAAATCAAATAATGCTTACTTCACTCTACTTAGGACCATTTATTTTAACATTGCTGTTATTTTATCCCAAAAAAAAAATGTTTTCGGTAAAAAATGGGATTTATATAGGAGTTGGAACAAGTGAAATTTGAGGCAGTGCGTCTTCATTATTGTGCTACTTGTTTTAATACTTTACTGTTTAAAAGTTTAGAAAATGGTGAAAAAATTCAAGAAAAAAACGGTATGCTTACAGTACGATTGTATAGTGGCCACATGCGCTCGTAGGAATGTTCGTGCGCCCAAATTTCCAGGTCAACTCCATACGTAAAAAACAGTTTTTCAAGCCCGTAACGATGTGTTCCTGGTACACCCAAACGGATCTGAACTTGAAAAAAATTTAGTTTACAATTGAAAAACGAAACAACGTACCAGAAACTGGAAGCTTCCATAATTTCTGGTAGAACTGAAAGAGACATAAGTGTACTGAACAGTCTTTTTTGAATTATCTCTTTCAGTGTCATTACCGCTTTTATTAACAATTGAAAATGAAGTGACTAACTCGCGATTCGTATTTGGTACAGTCATCAGAATTGTAGTTCGAGCAGTACATCGGTCGGTGACCCATTGTTATAATCCATGGATATTTGTCTCGATTTGCAGATGCGCGCTAAAAATCCGGAACAGCGATAACTTTTAAAGATCCCACAAACATATTTTGTATTCAATAATTTGCATTTTATGTACAGCTCGAATTGTAAATAATTTCATGCTGATTAGTACCACTCACCTTCAAATCCTTAGTAAGCCATTTCCATTGATTCGCTATTTGTACGGAACCATATTCAGTGAAATAATAAAATTCAGTTGATATGGCAATAAAATGAGCTGCACCAAGGTCAAAACTGCAGAAATATGAGAAAACGCTCGTGAAAAGTCAAATCTGCTCTGTATGTTTGAAATGTTTTAAAATCAATTTCATCAATCAATTAATTTATTAAACTATGCGCAGTAATTTACCTAACTTAAGGAGATAAATGCAAACATTATTTTGCTGCATATTTCATTATTTTATTTCACATAAGCCAAGCTGTGAATAATTTGTGTCTGTTAAACTATGAATTAATAAAGCAAAAGGGAAAAAGCACAAATAAATCCTAAGATGAAACTTAAACAATCATTTCGTCTTACATTCTGTTACAATCAGCATTGTTGCTGATACGGTACTATTCCGGTAAAATTGTGACAAAACAGAGGCTTAAATCTAGTTTGTACATAAAATAATTATTACCTATAAAAAAGTTGTGTTCACTGTTCGGCATCGTATACCGGTTCACATAGTGAGAGAAGTTGTAGGCCTGTTCATGATTACCGACAATCATCATATACGGTACATAAGCTGCTACCGGTTCAATCTGTCTACCAAATTGATCACCAAATCGTCCTTCATCCTGACAAACATAAGTACAAATAGCATGATTATTACTGCACTTTTCGAATATGTATGTTTTGTGCTTTTCAAAATTTTTCAAGTCATATTTATGGAATGGTCGAAAACATTGTTGCATTGTAAGAAGGAAAATGAAACTTACAGTATCCAAGTTGTATGCCATGTCACCTAAATAATAATGTATGAGCCATAGCAAAGAGAAAAATCATTAAAATGCTGCAGATTACCCTGTTATTTATCTATTTATTTCCCCATGCATTCGAAACAGGCAAAAAGTTTTGGACAAAGCAAAATAATACAAAAATTTTGACTGTTAACTTATCATAAATGACAAAATTTGCATATAAACGTAAATCGAAAAATAATTGACCAATGTGTAAAACAGCATCAATAAGTGACCGCTGTGCTTGTTGTTGTACCTTTCCGAGCGACCGAGCATTTACAACACCAAGATCTCCATAAACTGCATATATATATTCGTAATCTGTTAAGTTTTGCACTGCTTTAAATCGATAAATTGAACTCCAGCCGTATTGCGATCCAACATGGTACTCTGAACACCTCTTTTTGAAGATATTGAGAAGAGTTTAAATAATTTATTGAAAAACCGCAGCAAACATGAAAACAAGCAGTTCATGACATTTTTAATTCGCAAGTTGATTACTTTCAACCTTTGCAAAAAGTAGAATTCTTCTGTTCATTTTGCATCGAGATACTGTCGCTAAGTAATTCTCCAGACATGCCATGACATTATTATTGAAGATCAATATCGTTATTTCAATTTTTACTTGTTTTTAAACATACGGTAAATAGTTCCAGGTATCAGATCGGTGAGTAAAACTCGATGTATGTACCGTCTACTTTTTTGTTCTCCACCATCAATGAATAGTGTAGAATTGCCTTTAACAGACCATTGCAAATCACTAATGCCATATTCCACAACTGATGAAAATGTATCGTTATAAGTAAGCCAAGTTATCCACATTGAGGATAAACTATCTGAAAAATACGGATTAAACCGACCCTCAAAAAAAAAAAGAAAAAATTAAATGCTTGATTCTTCCACTATTATCACTTCAAATGTAAATGTTTATCAAAATTGCATCATTTTACAGTGACATAGTAAGTCTGATAAACGCGACGAAAAGTTTCATTCTCCAGAATTCGACCTTTTTTTGCTTTGTTGGTTTATCATTCTTATCATATTTTCCTTCAGGGATCATTTCTTGCATACCCATAAAATTGGAAGACATTCATAGAAAAATTTATTTCAAATCATTTCTACTCTACTTGTCTAATCTATTTTTGGAACACTGCAAAAAACTGAAACTGCTGCTTGAACTGTGATTTTGGTAAGTCATATGATGCATTAGTGATCCGAAATTATTATTAAATTAGTCTCATTCGATTTCATTTATTTAGTATTTACCTGGTCAGATTACTCTTATCTGTGTGTCAATCGCATCTGGTGGTTACCGTATGGCTGCTATAGGAAAAATATGACGCAATCGATAACACACAAAAAAAAGACTCACAGATGAAGTGCGTGTAAATTGGATGTGAGGAACTCGATTATTGTTTTAATAATTCACTAAAGTCATAAAATGACTAAGAAGAAATTTGAGTAAGACCGTTTACAATCAGTATCAAATCAAAGCGAGTTATTTATTCAATTCCAAAATCATATTTTTAGCATACTATAGTGGTCATTTTTTTTTAAAGCCTGAAAAATGATTAACAACTTCATCTTGCTCTCATATCTGACCACTACATTCTTGAATTATTCCAACAATCATGAAAAAAAACTGGGAAAAGATTCGAGCTACTTATTTTTTGTTGTCAAGTGTGTCATATTTTTCCTCTAAAACAAAAAAAAACAAAAAACAAAAAATAAATTTGTAAAACTGATAAAGCCAACATGGTCTACCTCCATAGCTAAGAGCAATCTGTTCCGGTTGCGCATAATATGGACCTTGATTGAGACTTGGAACGATTTTCCGATTGGAACTACGAAATGGTTCCAAAGAATTTTTTCTAGACGAACTTTGAGTCACGGAGAATAGAAGCAGAAGAAACACTGAAAGGAACATATCAGCATATCATTGAGAAAGGGGACAAGTGTGATAATTTAATTATAAAATTGTTATGATAATGATTGGGAAAAAAAATGTGTCAAATAATTTTTAATGCTAGAAATAAGAAAGCCTTGCCATTCATTTCTAACTAAGACTTTTTGAAAGCTTTTTTTTTTCTTGTATAATCAAACTTTTACACCAAATCATCTGAAATGACTAATTTTATATATCAGATAGTGTGTGACTATAAAATGAAAGGTTCATTTTAACTGTTTGTTGAAGAAAGATGTTGAAATAATATAGGAAAAATTTTGACGTCATTTTCATTTAGTACAATTATTGTTACAAATAAATTTTCATTAGTATAA